GGCTCCTGCCCCGCGCTGCCGCCATTTCGTGCCGGGCCGGGAGGGACGGGGCTGTGGAGCCGGAGCTGCAGCCGCCGCCGCCGCCGGCCCCGCCCGCGCCCACTCAGCGCCGCCGCTGGGTCGGAGCTGCCCCGCTCCAACCCTGGGGCCGAGGCGCCTCTGCCTGCCCCGTGTTCCAGCTCCTGCCGCTGCAGGAGCTCCCCGCGCTGCCCCGGCTGCAGGGATCGCTGCAGGGAACAGTTCGCTGGGGAGTCTTGGCTTGGACGTGGCACAGGGAGCGGGATCGAGACGGGAAAACACGTAAAATGGGGACAGGAAGTACAACAAGGGGACAGCGAGAGGGAAAACGGCTCAAGGAACGGGAGAGAGTTGAAGGAAGAAGCAGCAGGGCAGAAAGAGCCAGAGGGAGCAGGAAAAAAGGAAGTGAGCACTGGTGGCAGGAGAGAGACTGCTGAAAACGGCATGGGATGGACATCGAGACGCAGAGGCAGTGAAAACAAACAGGAATCGGACAGAGGATTATAGCGAGCAACCAAGAAGGTAGCAGGCGAGAGCCACACAAAGATCAGGATCAGGAGAAGACGAGGGGTGGATTTCACTGCACCAGTTTGAATCCCGGGCTGTTTTCCTCGTGTAGTTGCATGTAGGTGTCTGAGCTCCCTCAGAAGGGGCTGAGGCATTTGTGACATGACAGTAGTTGTCTTCCATGGTTCTCCATTCACAAGCATCTGCAAGGCTGCAAGTAAGGATGCTTATATGACAAGAACTCAAGGGAACTGTTTAAAAGATTGAGCCAAAGCTCTATTTTAATAAAAGATTTTGGTTGCTCTCTCAGGAGGTAGAAATCTGAGATTTCCAGCAAAGGCCCCACAGAAGGCAACCCAGAGCAGAAGCTGTTGTAGGTGGCTGTTGAGAGGTGAGGGACAAGGGTGAGCAGCTCAGTGGTTACTGTTTGCCAGTTCAAAGGGAATAGTACTGTGTTGAGAAAATCTTTTCTAGGCCGATACTGTAAGAAAAAAACCCCATAAACAATGTTGAGATCTCTCTGACACGCTACCAGGCATACTCTCCCACACATTCTAAAGGCAGCTGTCAACCTCACATATTACAGCCAGTTAAGAAGATAGAAACATTTCCCTCAGAATCCTGCCACCTCACATCATATATTAAACCCAAATAAGTAGCCTAATTTGGCTTCCCCCTTATATAGGGGAAGCGGGGAATTTTCCAGAAGAATGGGCATGAACGTACCAAATATGGAAAGGCAAGGCGGGGCTTTGCCCAAATTAGGCAACTAGGGGTGGGATCACAGTCATATATATGGGCAAAAGGGGAAGGGTCTTAACCATAATAGAAACAATTACAGCATAGCATTTTTCAAGCAATGGGTGAACAGGATGAAAGAGACTAAACAGACTAAAAACTAATGGGATGTCTGTAAGTATTATGGGGTGCAATATAAGAACTTCATATTAACAATACTAGAATTTAATTAACAAAATATTTAGTTTTCAAATGTCCTCAGTATATTTAAACAATGTCTTAATTTTCAGTGGACTCTTTTAAGGGTTTCACAAATCTTTGGTACCGCTCTTCCTCCTCATGTCCATCTCCCACACTCAGAGAGCTGTGCTTGGTTTCCTGGACAACAGCTTCTTTGCACTCACACCTCTGTGTTTGGCTGCTGACAGGACGAGCAGGAGTGGGTGCTGGGGAGAAGCCTCAGGACGACAATAATTCTGGCTGGTGAGCCTGGGACAGCAATTACCTGGTGTGCTGATGTCTGGCACTGCCTGCCTTTCAGCTGAGACTGGCACTGACACTTTCTCCCATCTAGAAGGTCTCCTTCTGCAGAGTCTCAGGGTCCATGTCTTTAGAAAGAAAGTGGAACAGTTTGATTATAAGTAATTGTCCTTCATCAGAAACATGGTACCATGTCCTGAGCGCCTTGGCAAGCGGCAATGAGGAGCTGACTGTCCCCAAAAACAGGAGGAAAACCACAGCCAAGTTTTTTGTGAGGCAACTAGAAATGTAGATCGAAACCACTCAAGACTAAATTAACCAAATTAACCCAAATGAACTAGGAAGCCCTTCAAGTGGGATGTCTGAGCTCACACTGGGTGTCCAGCTCCAACCCACCACTGACCTTGAAGTGTGCAGTCAGGATTTCCTGGGACATCATTTCTGCCTTGATGCTGGGCATCTGCAATTATTCTGACTATGGGGATCAATAATAGAACGTAAAGAGTCCATTTGTTATTCAGGGCTACCTCATCTTGTAAGGGAAGATTTTTAGGAGCTCCTCCTGTTACTTGAAAGATGGTACAACATTATTCAATTTGGGCGTACTACTTTCAAACAGAGGCTTGTTGGGCCACCCTGTCAAGAGTCGGGGTTCCTGACAAAACCTTTTTGGTGTCTTTGGCTTTAACAGGTCCTCTTAAAACTATTGATTGTTGTTGGACAGTTCTTTTTGCTTCCCAGAGGGCAGGACTGGCTACAAACCAACCCATTTCCCAAGTGGAATATCGTTTTTGTGCATCCTTAAAGCTTTGAGAGAAAAATCCAGTGGGTTGGGTAGAAATACCATGTCCTTACTGCCATAAATGTATGGACAGTTCTGAACTGGCAAATCCCCACTCAATTTGCATGGAATCAGAATTGTGTATAGGGCCTCATGATTGATGTGTGTTAGCCTCAAGAATTAGCAGTTGTAGGGCCACATCATGAAGGTAGTCCAATCCCACTCTGCTCCCTTCCACTGCAAATCGCACAAGGGCCTTGCAGCTATTGAAAAATTGGGAACTTGCTTCCTCCAGAAGACCAACAGGCCCAAAGCCTCCCCACATCTTCTCCGCTCTCAGACACCTTAATCTGTTCGAGGGAGGTGAGGGTGTCTGGGGATTACAGACCACTGCCCCCACTCCCCCATATCCCAAAAAACTTTACCTTTTGCAAAGGGAGTTGTACTTTCTCAGGAGGGCTCTGTAATTCCAGGAGTTCTAGGTATTCAGTAATGTCCTTTTGGGTTATCTGTACAGGAGCAATTTCATCTCCTGCTACTAAAATATCATCAATATACTAATATACTTTTACCTCAGGTGTGGGAGGATTGAATGACAGTTCTTTTGCTAGTGGATGCATGCTGAAGTGGGTGAATGTTTAAACCCTTCTGGGAGGCAGATAAAAGTGTACTGCTGACCCTCCTATACAGAAGCAAAACGCTCCTGATCTTGATCTTGCAGGGGAACCATAAAAAGCATGTCTTTAACATCAGTAGTGACCATAATTTTTTGAGTTCGCTCACAAAATTGGCTATTAGTTTTGCTGTATTTGGGACTGCTGTAGGGAGAGGCCCTGTGTTTGCATTAAGACTTCAGTAGTACTCAGGTAATCTCCAACTAGCACGCAGGAGTGTTACAGGGGGAATGGGCTGTAATCACTATTGGTTTAGATTCTCAATAACTGGGGTGATTCCTTCTCTGGCTCCCAAGGGTAAGAGGTAAGACTTGTCGTTGGTTACTAGGGAGGGAGAAAGAGCAGGGGCAGCATCTAGCAGGTGCAAATGGTGGGTTTCCTTCCCAAAAGCCCCTATTTTTTCTTCTTTGTCAGTCCAAGACCTTCCCTTCAGGAGGTCTAGCCCCAAAAGATTTCTAGGAAATTTTCCCAAAACCATAAGGGTTTTGATCACTTTCTCCTCCCCTGGCAACCACCATCTTACCCTTGTTGTCATTTGGGGTTGAGTGTATCTGAAAGCATCCACAACAAATATACCTTTACACGAGAGGATGATTCCTCACGAAGAGGCCTCTTCAATCTTGAGAGCAGATATTTGACCTCCAGTGCCTTATGAGGACTTTGCAGGGACCATTATGACAGGTCATTAATAAGTCTCCTTTGGAATTTTTGGTAAGCCATCTGATAGAAAGTCACTCTCCATTCCCTAGCTTACCTACTGGAGATGAACAAAAGTGTTTCCCACCACCTCCCCCTTTTGTGGTTCCTCTAGGGGAGGGGCTTTAGCACAGACAACAGCTTTTATTGATCCCTCTTTTGCCTGCCATGCTTTAACTAGTACCTCCAGTTTATCACTGGGTTGGCTGTCCATCAGGGTTTTTGGGATTCCTTTTCGTAAACGCAGAAGCTATTTCTTTTTCTCCTGTGTTCTTCACTTGTATTAACCTGTCCTCCTTGCCCAGGGCACAATATTATTTTTCGGAGTTTTATAGGGAGCATTGGTGTTCTGCATTCTGTGTGCCAAATTAATTTGGGATCAGTATTGCTAGGGAGTACTTGACCACATTTTCTTTCATATGTAATTCTTGTGCCACCTCTCCCCAGGTCCAAATTTTATGTTCCTATGGCTACGGGTGGGAGTTACAGCCTTCTCCAAGGTGACTCTTTCCCCAGTTCTGAAGGTTGCTATTTGTCCTTGTAATTGAATGCCCATGTGTTTCAAGTTGCTTTCACAGTTTAAACAAAGGCAAAGCTTTTTGCGTTATATCAGTTCAAGAAGCAATGGCGAAACGTATATTGCTTTTCACCAGTTCTTTACAGGCCCCAGCTGGAAAACCAGTTTAATGCTGGGACAAAAATGTCCTGCCAGGAGTGCAGGTCCCTCCTAGCTCCTCTCACAGATCTAGCCCTGCTTCCAGCTCTGTGCATTCAATTCCAACTCAGACAAAACAGGTTCAGAACTCACTACCTTTTAACAAGATATTTACTTATATATTATTCATTAAACAAAACACCATCTTCTGAAGTAAAGTACCCCTGCTGGTACTGGTAGCAGGGACACCAGGATGGTGTGGGCTGGAGTGAGTCCAGGGAAACCCAGTTCTCCTGTGAAGAGGCCCCATCAGCCAGAGAGCAGCTGGGACAAGCAGGCAGAGGTGCGGGATCTGTGCCCATGTTCCTGTACAGCTGGGCGAGCTCTGCTGCAAAGATCCCTGGTGACAGGCGGCAGCTGTTGAGCTTTGTGTTTGTTTGGGCTCTCTCACCTCTTCCTACTTCTTCGGACTCTGCTTCATCTTTTTCTCTAGATGGAGATGAAAAAAGAGACTGAGGTAAGGAAAGAGACTGTTCCCAGAAGGAGTCAGTATGGGCTTGTCCTTCTCCCTGGGTCCTTCTGTACAAACAGAATTCAGAGGAGTCTACTCATGGATATGAACTGAGAACCCAGTTAAAGGACTGTACCATGGAGGTTTCAGTAGAGTGCTCCCAGGAGCTGCCTTGGCATTCCAGCACTGTGCAAACACTCTACTGCCAATGATAGCAATAAATAACTCTTGGGAAGAGCCAACTCACGTGTCTTTCCTCCTTAGCCGTGACATGACTATACAGCAGACCACTATCCCAAGCAGGAGCACACCCGAGGCTGCTGCAGTTCCTAGGATGTAGTTCTTGCCTGGCTCCTGATAACCAGCAGTCTCAGCTTTTTCCAGAGTAGCTGACCCTGGCAGGAGAAAAGACAAAGCAAGAGACAATGTTTCTGCTCTGCACTATGGATAATCTCAGATGCAGGGCACTTCAGATGCCCAAGGGATTTTGTTTTTGGAGACTAATGCCTCTGGCTCTGGTTTCTTAGGACCGGGGACAAGTAGGATCCCTTCAGGTTCTCCTGAAGAAGAGCCCGTGTGCCAGCGAGCAGTTGCCCCAGCACTGCCCCAGTCTGTTCCTTCAGACTGCAGACCAGGGTTGAGTGCTGGGGAGCTGCAGTTCATCCATGGAGAGCACTGCAAGGATACAGCAGAAATACTCTTTTCCGAAGCAGGCATCTGCTGAGCACTCACTTAAAGGACGTCTCTGAAGCAGAGCAGATGTCCTGGTTCCCTGTCTTGTCTTTCCATCTTCACCTGAGACTGGCACTCTGTCACTTTCTCCCATCTGGAAGGTCTCTTGCACACTCTCAGGCTTCATCTCTTTAGAAAGAACATGAGACAGTTTAATTAGAAGTAACTGTCCCTCATCAGGAACACCGTACCATGTCCTGGGCATCTTAGCAAGTGGCAGTGAGGAGCCCACTGTCCCTGAAAACAGGAGGAAAGCCACAGACAAGTTTCCTGTGGTGCAACAAGAACTGCAGAGTCAAACAACCCAAGACTGAATGAATGAACCACTCTAGGAAGCCTTTCAAGTTAGGTGTCTGTCCTAATGCTGGGTGTCCAGCTCCAACCCAGCACTGAGCTGTGGAAGGAGCAAGATTTCCTAGGACATCCTTTCTGTCTTGATGCTGGGCTGTGCATGAACCCAACACAAATTTGGCTCAGCCCTGTTCCCCACATCTGATTATCAGCATCTGCACAGAGCAGCTGTGGCCAGTTAATGGTGCAAGTGCAGCAGCAGTTGCCCCTGGCTCTCAGCTGGAAGCCCATGAAGGAGCAGGAGCTGTGCTGGACCATCTCTGTGGCTCAGCAGCCCATGCAATGCATGAAACCGAGTGTCCTTGCAGTGAAGCTCTGACTGATCCCTTCTGTTGTGGGTTTACTCTTTTTACCTTCCTGCTACATAGGCTACAGCAGATCCCCAGAGTAAGCAAAAAGTTCAGCTTGTCAAGTCCTGTGGTTAAGAGACTGAGATACACTAACCAGATGCAGCTTTCTCCAAGGCACTTAGAAGCTCCTTTGGAATGACAGGTATCTTCTGGGAATCCTTCACTATTTTAGATTTATAGAAGGACATTAACATATGAAGGTACATTTTTCATGAGTAACACACTAAAAATGAGTGCTTATTCTGTGAAATCAGTAGAGACTGACTACTCACCCTTGACATACCAGCTTGGAATCAACATGGAATCTGGCTCAGGAGCTGGAAGACCCCTTCCTTTGGCCACATCTACAACCGAACACCCTCAAGAAGTTACCATCACACTTCAAGAGCAGAACATGTAAGAGCATCAGGGAATAACAGGGCACGAAGACAGGTCTGCGTTCTCACAGCTGCAGGGGTACCTGGCTGCCCTTGGGACACTGAGCTGGCAGCTCAGAGAGGAAGCAGAAGCCAAGACGTGCGCAGGTGACCTGCCGTGGGTCAGCCCTGGAGCCCGGCCATGAGACTGGATAAGCATTGCTTTGTGATGGATAAGTCAGTGCCGAGATTCTGACCCTGCACTGCACTCCTCACCTCCTTGATCATTAGTACCCTCTCTCTTCACCACCCTTGAAGCAGCTGCAGCCCCTCCACACCTCCCCGGGCTGTGTCTGCCCTGCTGCCTGCACCGTGGTGCCTTCCTGGCTCACCCTGGCCCCACTGCTGCCAGCTTGGGGTGGGTGCCCCTGCCTGCCTACCTGATTCCTGCCATTGCACTGGAGCAGACTGGGCATCTTGGGCTTGCAGGGCCACCAAAAAGAAGAGGAGGCAGCAGGTGAGCACCACCACCCCCAGTGCTTGAAACATGCTGCTGCTGCTGCCACCACTGCTGCTGCCTCAGAGATGCCCAGAGCTGGCATTGAACAGCAGATCGAAGAGGGGTTCTGTGACCTCACGACCTCATCAGGCCCTGCCATCTGCCATTATGCAGCCCAGGTGATGGAAAGGCTATGACAGCACACGGGGTTCTTCACTCTGTTGTAGATCGTTATTGTAGATGGTAAGTGACGCAGCAGGCAGTAAGAGTGCTAGCCACATGCATACAGCAGGAGTGAAGGGTGCTATCCACAGACTGAGGGGAGAGCGTGTCTTTTTTAAGGTTCTGGGTGGAAAGGGCTAGAATAAAGGAGGAGCATGGGATTGACAGGGTGCAATTACCTATGAGGAACTGGAGATTTAGGTGAGGCAATTGAGAACCAATGACTGAGGGTTAAAGTCTTAATAGTGTCTCCTCTTATGTGGCAAATCTCTGCCAATCAGAGAGGAGGAAAATCATGAGGGAGCTTAACATGTATGAACATGTCCTGACACCTAATACTGTATATAACTGGGGTACAAAACTCTTTTAGCAAACATGCATTAACAATAATCATAAACCCATAACTGTACAATTCAAAACACAGATAAACCACAATCATTAGTAAAGTCCATTAGTACAGTCCAATCAATCTCTCTCATAAACAGCACACCATTTTCTGTATTCTTCTGTTCTTCTTTTCTTGTCCTCCTCATCTCCCCCTTTTTTGTTTTTAAAATCGTACACTTCATTGTAGTACCAGTTGTAGTTCGGAACATTTGCTTGCAAGATGACCACGTTCACTTGAGAAAGACAATACCTTTTAAAAAGAGTAACTAAACATGATAACAAACAAATTACAAATATAACAGAGAAAATAATTGAGAGACTGATCAAAATTAATTGTCAGGTCCAATTTGGTAAAGAAGCCCAATTCAAACCTTCAAACAAATCTTTAGTATGCCATTTAGGATCTTGTTGTATTTTGGAAACCAGTTGTTGTATAGTGTTTATATTTGCCTGAATCGATTTGAAATGGTCTGAAAAATTCAGACTACATAAGATCGTTAACTCTTGACAACCGTGATTGTGTAGAACTAAAAGAAAATCTATAACAGCTCTATTATGCAGTGAAATTCCCTTTAAAGTCATTGTATCATCTAACAATCCTTTTTAGGTGAGTGACATAGCATTAGCCTCTTTCACCATCCAACATGCCTTGTGAGTTAAAATCCCAAGTGCATGATCTGTAGCTATACCTGCAGCAAAAAATGCAACCCAAAAATCTCTATCCCTCATCCATAACTTTATTGCAGGGTCACAATCCGAGGGCATAGAGGGTAGATAGTTTTGATGTGAAAATTGGGTTGGCTCTGGTGAATTTGCAGGGGTATTGTATTTCAGCAATGGATGTTTTCCACTATCAACGTTAATTTGAAAATTGGAGAATTGGATGCATGATGGGGGTTTATGAAATGGTGGAAAATTATCTGGTTGGTTTGGATCTGGGCCTTGTGAAGTTGGTGTATAAGGCGGGACATTTATTTCTGGTTCAAATGGAGGAAGAGTGGGTGCATAAGGCGGGACATAAGGTTTTTTATTGAAGCTGGGTGGTCGTGAATCCCAAGCTTTGGTGTATTTTTCTTTATTCCTTCTACGGATTTCTGTTTTGAAAGTTGCTACCCACTGCCTTCTCTTTCTGTTACGAGAAATAGGCTTTATTGTTGATTCTATCTCACCTGGTATATTAAATTGAAATGGATGAAACAATGTAATTTTGCCTATGGTACAAGGGCCTCCTTGTAGATCTGCAGGGATACCATTCCACACTCTTTCCCCGCAAATCAGAAAGTCTCCTGGATGTAATTCACGATGTCGATACATTTTACCCACATTAACCATTTTGGGGTGTGTCCCATTGCACCATAGGGAAGTATTTCTATAAATTCCCTTTTTTGATGTGACATCAATCAGTTTATCCTTAAAGGCAGTAGGTTTTGGCACAAACTGCAAACAGGTGTTGGTAATAGCTATACCTAACAGTTCGAACTCAATTACTGATTTGTCAGTAAGGGGAAATTTCTTATATGTATCTAACATTGTTTTATTCAAAGGAATTCCAATTAAGCATGTAGAAAAGGGATTTGCCACATTGTTTGTAGCAAGACAGATGGTGTCTGTGTTAGCTTCCTTTGCAAGCTTTACCCATATATTATGTCCTTGACCCATAGCCCAAGGTAACATTCATGTAGATGCTGTTTCTGTAACCAGACTCATGACTGTGAAGATCATAAGGAGGGTCATGAAGCATCTTGTTGTTGAGGAGGTACAGGTGATGTACATTTTAATCCTTCCTGGTGGATCCTTACTCTTCTCGAAGGTACCCATTCAGTGCCACAATCTGTTAAAATACAAGTGTGAACCTTCCCCCAAGTTATGAGAGGGAAGGGTCCCAACCACTTTTCAGTAATAGCATCTTTGTACGTCACTTTTGCCTTAGTTGAAGGTTGATCTCTCTCTATCTGAAAATGCTTTTCTACTGGGGTTCTGCTGAGGGGACTGTCATTATCTTCCAACCGATTAAAAAAATTTAGCACATACATCACTTTGTCTAATCGTTCTTGGGGAGACATACCCAAACTCCCCCTTTTTTGTTTTTTGAGTAAATTTTTGACAGATTGATGCACACATTCTACTATCCCCTGACTAGTGGGATTGTAGGGAATACCTGTAACATGAGTAATTCCCCAGGCTGAAAAGAATTTGCTTCTCTCTTGAGCAACATATGAGGATCCATTATCAGTTTTGATGGTGTAGGGTATCCCCATATGTGCAAAAGCCGTAAGGAAATGTTTTTTAACGTCACAAACTTTTTCCCCAGAATGGGCAGTAGCCACAATATATTTTGAAAATGTGTCAATGGAAACATGGACAAATTTTAATTTCCCAAATTCAGTGAGGTGGGTAATGTCTGACTGCCAGATTTGTAGAGGCTTAAGACCTCTAGGGTTTACACCCTCAAGTTTTAATGGGACTACTGCTTGGCAGTCAGGGCAACCTTTTAAAATTTCTTTTGCTTGTGCTAGTGTAATGCCAAATTGTTTATGAAGAGCCTTAGCATTTTGATGGAAAAAGTCATGAGACATGCGAGCTTGTTGTAATAAATTTGGAATGGTGGTCATACCTGCCAACTGGTCACCTTGCTGATTTCCTTCTGCCACTGGTCCTGGGAGAGTAGTGTGTGAGCGGGTATGGGTGATAAAATAAGGAAAATGTCTGTTATGAATACAGAAGAGTAAAGAAGTTAGTAAAGCAAAAAGAAGGCTGTTGGAGACTTGCTTCAAATAAGAATTTTGAATCCTAAGTACAATGCCTACAACATAGGAAGAATCTGAAATTATATTGACAGGTTCTGAGGAAAAAAGAAAAAAAAGCATGAACAACAGCAGAAAGTTCCAGTAACTGAGGCAAACCTTGGGCCTTATGGATATCATGTTTCCAATTACTGCCATCCTGCCACTCGACAACAGCATTACCGGTTCTACCGGAGCCATCGGTGAAAAGTGTTTTTGCGTTTTCAATTGGGATTTGTGAGTGCATGACTTTCAACTGAATTGGGATTGGCAGTATTCTTTGCAAAAATTTACACGCCGGAATATGAAGTTGAAATTTGCTGAGATAGTTCACTGTGGCAATTTGGAAGCCAGTGGCAACTTTCAACAGCTGATCGAAATGTTCAAAGGTCAGTGGGAGGTGGATGGAATCTGGGTCCTTCCCACAGAACTCTAAAGAGCGCATACGCCCTTTGAAACATAATTTTGAAATCATTTCAGGGAGAGTGGTGATTGTTTTTGAGAACTGATGTGGTAGAAATAACCACTCCCATAAGCAGAACTCCGAGTCATTGTCATGAAATTGACCAAGAATACCTAAAGGTTGGTTATCATTCAGAACGATAAGCAAAGAGGCAGGTAAATTAGGTGGCATTCTGTATGATTGTCTGGCAGAAATTTTGTGTTCAACAATTTGTAATGCAAGTTCAGCGTCTGGAAAAAGTAACCTAGGGGAGGATAAGTCTGGATCACCTCTGAGTAAATCAAATAAAGGATTTAAATCATCAGTAAAGATTGATTGGATCCAATTAATCGCTCCCATAAGTTTCTGAAGGTCATTTAAAGTTTTAATATTTTTCCAAATCACAACTGATTGAGGGGTTATTGTTGAATTAGTAATTTTTAATCCTAAATATTTCCATGGAGGAAAAGTTTGGACCTTGTCAGGGGATGTTTGTAAACCATTAGAATTTAGGACCGAAACAACAGAATTGAGAGTTTTCTTTACATCCAAATCAGAGCATGCACAGATCTATACATTGTCCATATAATGAAGGATGATTGATTGTGGGAATTCGGACCTAATTGCAGAGAGAATTTGTGAAACAAATAATTGACATAAGGTAGGCGAATTTTTCATCCCCTAGGGGAGGACTTTCCATTGGAATCAATGACGAGGCTCACAAGAATTTATTGAGGGAACAGAAAAAGTAAACTTAGGAGTATCAGCAGGATTTAAGTAAATATGGAAAAAACAACTTTTGATGCCGATGACAACCATGGGCCACTCCAGAGGTAGCATAGTTGGAGAAGGCATACCTTCCTGCAGAGTGCCCATAGGCTCAAGGACATCGTTAACTTTTCTGAGGTCTTGGAGCAATCTCCAAGACCCAGATGATTTCTTTATAACAAAAACTGGTGTGTTCCAGGGACTCGTCGAAGGCTCCACATGGTTGTTATTCAATTGTTCTTGTACCAGATTCTGTAAGGCTTGCAGCTTTTCTAGAGGCAAGGGCCACTGGTCAACCCAAACCTGGGTTGATGTTTTCCAAGAGAGTGGGGGTAGCTGCAGCCCACCAGTGGCCTGATTTACAAATTTGAGTGAAGCCCAATGCCCCACTGCATTAAGGAGTCCTTGCCCCACAACATAAGGAATATATCTAAAATAAATGGATAAAGTGACACGGACTTGTCCTCTGGCCCTAGGATTTGAATCATAGTAGAGCTACG